CTCCCAACAACTGAGCTACACCAGTCAGGGTGGTATATAAGGTAATTTAAAAGATAAATTTTTAGAGCTAGTTTTTCTTGTTCAATTCTCAGTAAAGATGGACAATAGCTTACAATTTTGTTAATAGTGAGCCATTAAGAAAAATATTGCCTTTGCTTCCGTTTTAAGGTTAAACACATCCAGTTTTTAAAAATAGATATTTTTAATGGCTTTAAATCAATAAAAAGTATGTGTATAAAATTGTGTTATTTATTTTATTTGGAGAAACCACTGAACTTACACACCAAATTATAGGAGAAAAACTACCTAGGTAATCTAAGAGTCTGCATTCACTTCCAAATACCTTTGGATTTTTTCTTTTGGATTTACTTTTAGAAAAAATTATAAGTCATAGAACAAAATCAAATTATTTAAACACCACATCAAATATTCCATCTGTAATATTGACAAAAATTATAACATGTTTACTAATATATCACAAAAATGGTACTTAAATATGAAGAAAATCATAAAATACTTACTGTACTGCATACCTAACTATATTTATTTACAAAATGTTTTCGCCTAGTCAAAGAAAAGAAAAAAGCAGACAGAAAGAAAAAAAAAAATCACTCCCAATAGTCAAAGTCAGATATCATTGAAAATATTCAAAAGCCTATGCTACATAATCCAAAAGAATTCTGAATTTAAAATACACCTTTACCAAAATATTATAATGTCTCCATTTTCATTAAAAAGTTTATTGCCAACTACTAAATGTAATAATAGCATTGTTAGTGTTTCTCTTTTTCTCTTCTCACTATTAACAATCTTAAAACTACCCTTAAATATTTCTTTCTACATATAAATATATATAATTGTATAAATAAGATAATAACATATATTTTGTTTTTACCAGAAAACCTCTTTTGGGGCCTATTTAACTCTCTCTTCTTTTTTATCCTTTCCTCTCACCTACACCAAGACAATAAACATTAACTTGGAGTCTACATGTTATACAGTTTTCATGTTTGTATGTTTATATGCAAATATATGTGTGCATATATTAATAGATATGCATAGAATAAGAATTTCAAGACTTCATTTTCTGTTTGTTTAATGTGATGCTTTCATATATATTTCTCTATGTCTTCTCTCACTTTCCTAATAACAGTTGTGAATACTTTTTTGAGTCAACTGGTAGAACAATAACTCATTTTTGAATGACTTCCTTAACATTGATAAGTTCACCAGGATTTGTTCAAGTATTGATTCATCTTGATTAGTTTTCATGTTATTTCCATTCTTTTGCCACATGAACACCACTGCAGTAGACTTTTCTCCCTATGAAGTGCTACATTACTGCTATAGAATGGATTACAAATGTAGGTTGCTGTGTCGAAGAGTATTTTTATTTTTTTATTTTATTTTATTTTATTTTTTAATATATATTTCATTGATTATGCTATTACAGTTGTCTCATGTTTTCTCCCTTTTTATTCCCTTCCACACTGCACCCCCCATCTTGCCAGCATTCCCAACCCCTCTTAGTATATGTCCACGGGTTTTACATATAAGTTCTTTGGCTTCTCCATTTCCTATACTTTTTTTAACCTCCCCCTGTCTATTTTGTGCCTACCATTTATGCTTATTCTCTGTATCTTTTCCCCCATTCTCTGCCCTCCACCTCCCTTCTGATCTCCATTTCTATGATTATGTTCTTGTTCTAGTTCTTTGCTCAGTTGTTTTTTTTTATGTTCAGTTGTTCATAGTTGTGAGTTTGTTGTCATTTTACTATTCATACTTTTTGATCTTCTTTTTCTTAGATAAGTCCCTTTAACATTCCATATAATATGAACTTGGTGATGATGAACTCCTTTAACTTGACCTTATCTGGGAAGCACTTGATCTGCCCTTCCATTCTAAATGATAGCTTTGCTGGATAGAGTAATCTTGGATGTAAGTCCTTGCCTTTCATGATTTTGAATACTTCTCACCAGCCCCTTCTTGCCTGCAAGGTTTCTTTTGAGAAATCAGCTCATAGTCTTATGGGAACTCCTTTGTAGGTAACTGTCTCCTTTTCCCTTGCTGCTTTTAAGACTCTCTCCTTATCTTTCCTCTTGGGTAACTTAATCACAATGTACCTTGGTGTGTGCTTCCTTGGATCCAATTTCTTTGGGACTCTCTGAGCTTCCTGGATCTCCTGGAAGTCTATTTCCTTTGCCAGATTGGGGACATTCTCCTTCATTATTTGTTCAGATAAGTTTTCAATTTCTTGCTGTTTCTCTTCTCCCTCTGGCACCCCTATGATTCAGATGTTGGAATGTTTAAATTTGTCCTAGAATTTCCTAAGCCTCTTCTCATTTTCTTACATTCTTGTTTCTTCATTCTGTTCTGATTGAATGTTCATCTCTTCCTTCTGCTCCCAATTGTTGATTCGAGTCCCGATTTCCTTCCCTGCACTATTGGTTCCCTGTATATGTTTCTTTATTTCACTGTGCATAGCCTTCACTTTTTCCTCCATTTTGCAACCATACTCAACCAATTCAGTGAGCATCCAGATTACCAGTGTTTTGAACTGTACATCTGATAGGTTGGCTATCTCTTTATCACTAAGTTCTATTTTTGGAGCTTTGATCTGTTCTTTCATTTGGGCCATATTTCTTTGTCTCAGCTGACTGTTATGTTGGGAGGGGTGGAGCCTTAAGTATTGACCATGGCAGGGCAACTCAGGTCACTGCATTGTGACTCTGTATGTGGGGGAGGGTTCTGAGAGGGAACAATGCCACTTGCTTAGCTCTCGGCTGGCTTTCAGTCACTTCCCCTACTAACAACGAGCAAACTGGGCCCTTCTGGTGTTAATTCTCGGGTGGGTGGGTTTGTACGTTCTAGGACCCTGTGGGTCTCTCCAACAAACTCTCCTGTGAGGCTGGGAGTTTCTCCCCTACAAGTTTTTACAGCCAGAGATTTTGAGGCTTTCTTTTCCCACACTGGAACCCTGGATTGTGAGGTCTGTCTCGCTCCCCAGCTATTCCTCCTGGTTTATCCACCCAGAAATGTGGGACTACCCAGTCAGCCAGCCACGGCCTCTCCCATGGTTCGATTTTTCTGGCAGTTCTAGTTATTGTTTTGTTTTTAAATTTGCTGTCTTTCTTTTGGTTGTGCAAGGAAGCAAAGTGTATCTACCTATGCCTCCATCTTGGTGAGAAGTCTATTTTTAAAAGATAATGACAAATTGTTTTTAAAAGGTTTAATAATTTACATTTTCATCAATAAGTGCAAGAGTGGACTTTTCCTAATTTCCATAAGCAGTAAATTTTGCTAATCTGAGGAAAGAAAAATGATTTTTCATTGTTATATTATTTGCATATCCTGAGTACTCAGGAAGGTAAGTATTTTTTCCTACATTTATTAAACATGTTGACACGTTGTTCTGTGACTTGCCCATTCAATTTCATATTCATTCTCTTATTGAATTATTTGAGTTTTCATATCAATTTGTAATATGTATTTGTTTGTGATAGGTACTCATATTTTACCTGTCCTATTTATTATACGTATTTCTTCCAAAGTTTTATTCATCTTTTCCTGATTAGAGACTTGATACACACACCATTTTCTTGCAGTTAAAAATTAGGTTTAATATATCTATTTTTTTGTAATTTATGAGTTTCCTATATTAGTCAAAGATTTTTGTAATATATTTATACCTATTTCCTGAATTTTCTTAGAATGTTTTAATTGCTTGTTTTTAAATTTGTTACTTTAAGTCCTTGATCCAGCAGCTTATTAAACAAAAGCACAGGAAAGGGATCTATTCTTTCTTTATTTCCAGATATATAAACAAATACAACCATACTATTTGTTGAATAAATCATCACTTTTCTGAACTGAATAATCATCCATGTAATATATTAAATTCAATTATATAACTTGAATTTGTGTTTGTAGTCTTTATGTAGTTTCACCATTATATTTTCCTGTTTCCACGCCATATCATATTCTGTTGAATAGCTTTGTGTGTTAACACTTCCTGCTGCACACTTGACTTTCTTACTGTTTATATTTTCCTTGTTTCCTCAAAATAATTTTATTTTACATGAATTTTATGCTCATGCTTACTACATTAAAAAGTGATTAGGATTCTAATTGAAATTAACTTCATCTCTACTGACATATTTGTAATACTGTCTTCTTATCTAAGAACACATGTGGCTGTGTATTTCTTCAGAAATTATATAGTGCCCTTGGGTTAGTTTTTGTAATTTTCTTTATATAGGTCTTAAATATTTTAAAAATTATTTCAAGGTATTTGAAACTGTTATGGCTAATAAAGTGGATACATTTTTCTTTATTTCTCTTTTCTTTTGGTTATTGTTTGCATAGAAAAATCTGATTGTTTATATAGTCATCATCCATCTGATAATTAATAAAATCATAGCCTTATTTGTTAATTATAACAATATAAGAAATACAAATTTTTCTCTTACAAGTTTTATGATATTTTATACCTTTATTATACATGTATTACTTCATTTTAATTAATACCTTAGCTATATTAAAATTTTTAATACTTTGTAATAATGCTCAGAGTGAGCATTTCAATCTGTTCCTAACTTGAAGAGAGATGCTGTATGATTTGGAATGTGTATTATTAGTTTTGATAATTAATCTTTAGCATATTTAAAAAGCTTAATTTTATTTCCATTTTCAAAGATTTTTCAAAATTAGAAGATGATTATTAAATAGCAATCTATTTTCCATATAAAAAATAAGCCAACTTCTCTTAGGCAATAAAACCTTTACATTCAATATATACATTTTGCCTAACTTTTAGGACCAGTTTCCCAAGTACTTATGTTTGTAAATATTTTTACTCAAGAGTAAGGTAAATGTTCTGATTATAGGAGATGCATAAACAAGGAAGATGTGTTTTTTTCCAAACAAAATGCTAATTTTATGGTATTTTATAGCTGTGTTCTTCACTTATTCTTTCAATGCAGTGATCAGCCTGAGTGAATATGATGGAGGTAAACAAAACACAGGTGACAGAGTTTGTTCTCACGGGACTTACAGATCTTCCAGCGCTTCAGGTCCCCCTGTTCCTGGTGTTCTTGGTCATTTATCTAACCACCATCATGGGCAACCTTGGTCTCATTTTTCTCATCTGGAAAGACCCCCATCTTCACACACCTATGTACTTACTCCTTGGCAGTTTAGCCTTTGCAGATGCTTGTTCTTCATCATCTGTGACTCCCAAGATGTTAATTCATTTTTTGTCAAGGAATCATATAATATCCCTGGTTGAGTGCATCACCCAATTTTATATTTTTGCTTCCAGTGCAAACACAGAATGTTTTCTCCTGGCAGTGATGGCCTACGACCGCTATGTAGCCCTCTGTAACCCCTTGCTTTATCCAGTGGTGATGTCCAACATCCACTGCATTCAGTTATTAGGTGTTTCATATATTATTGGATTTCTTCACCCCATGCTGCATATCGGTTTATTACTTAGATTAACTTTCTGCAAGTCCAATGTAATACATTATTTCTACTGTGAAATTTTACAACTGTTTAAAATTTCTTGTACTGACCCTGGAGTTAATATGCTCCTGCTTTTTATATTTTCTGTGTTTATACAATTTTTCACCTTTATGACCATTATAGTCTCTTACACTCATGTCCTCTTTGTCATCCTAAAAATGAAGTTTGAAAAGGGCAGAAGCAAAGCCTTTTCTACATGCAGTGCCCACCTGCTCTCTGTTTCCTTGTTCTATGGCACTCTATTCTTCATGTATGTGTGTCCTGGGTCTGACCTCACTGAAAATCAGGATAAAATGTATTCTTTATTTTACACAATCATAATTCCTCTCCTGAACCCTTTTATTTACAGTCTGAGGAATAAAGAGGTTATAGGTGCCTTGAAGAGAACAATAAACAAATAAACAGTTTTAAAAGCAAATTTCAAAACTGTTCTTTTCAAACTTTGCACAATACAAGACCTCTGGAGATAACACGAGCCAGCCCTGTCTTTATAATTTTAACCGAGGGCTAGTCTATGGTAGTTTGTGAGTTCTGTGTGATGATGAAAGGCAGCTTCAATGGATTTTTGTTTCAGTGGAAGAGCTTTCTATCACATAAAACTAAATTCCCCATAAAAAATAAGACCCGCTTTTTACAATTAAGCATTTAAAATTTGCAATTTTTGACTTTTTAAAAATTCATCTACATTAGACAGAGTAGTTTGTCACTTTACTGTTGCAAATATTTGCATGCTTCTTTGCTTGAGGCTGGCATGACCGAGCCAGGGCGATTGTCCAGGGCTTCCTTATCAAAATTCTTGTTGTTTCTCAATAGTTTCGGAACTCTGGTAAAATGACTTCTTGGAGGAGACTATCACTAAAGAGAGAAGTTCCTTTATAGTGAAGATTTTTTTTAATGTAGAATATAAGATATTAGTGGGTTTTATTGAGAGTAATGTGAGGATAAAATAAAGTGGACTATTAGATAAAAGTACACTCAAATATATGAAAATATGAAGTGCTTTTTATCAAGAAAAACATAGGCAATGTGGGTATTAAAGAATTTCCAGAATTTGGAAGATTTCAGAGTATATCCCCTCTAATATTTGAATTTTACTATATTTATCTTTACAAATTTAAAAAAGCAGAAGCTCAGAATTTGCATTGTTACCACTCTGCTTATAATCTCTTACATGTTTATTATTATTGAAGTAAAAATAATTTACGTCTGCAATTACATGACACTACATATGTTAATTTTGGTGTCACTATGAAATAATTCTCATAAATAAAATAATTGCAAAAAACTTCCATGTAATATTTTTTCATTGACTGTTTTTTAAGAAACATGTAGTGACTTTTTTGTTGGCCATCTCCTAAATTTAGAGGAACTATAAAGAGTTAAACATATAATTTGTTCAAAGTTGTAATATCTTGCTACCCATGGCTGCTGCAAAATCCTCAGCAAGGCCAGGCTGAGCAGTAAGGAAGAACCATGTATACAGAAAACCTGATGTGTGGACATAGCAGTAATCAAGGTGGGAGTATGCAAGGCTGAGGATTAAAGTACAACACTGCACTGCACACACTGAAGCCAATAGAATTAAAAATTTCTTTTAATCAAATCAGCCTCAGATGAAAATGATCCTTGCCATATATTGGGAAGGACTTATTGAAAGTATCTTTGGTACTGATGGAGATACAAGTGCCCAATCCATCCATTCTTCTGCAAAGTCCCCTACCCTCTCTTCAAACAGGCAGAGGAAAAAGGTTTAGATTATGAAGAAGGGCACAATTATTTCAAAACATAAGAGCTGTGAAGCCATATAATATTAAAACTCCTTTGAAAATGTCAAAGATTGTAATATTTATCTTATAAGAGTATTTAGGAGAGAATCTACTGCTGGAGGGGAACTATAGGACCATTACGACTTCTAAGCTAGTGATTTGAAAATGGGCAGGTCAGGCTCACTCAGTCTAAACTAGAGCCCATCAAACCATTCCCTAGAAACAATGAATGTCACCCAAAGTATACTAAACCACAAGGAGACTATGCTCCTGGAAAAGAGACCCAGACTCATGGGGTAAAGAGAACTTACAAGCTTCCATACAGAGAGACTAGATTATTAGCAAGGAAATATATAAGTACAGTAACATCTGACTTCCCATCTATTGCACTGATAGTACAAAACCAGTAGGACAACATTATCAACTATTCATAGAAAAATAATGGGCTACATTAATACTGTTGAGACAAAGTGTATGTAGAAGGATTGTGAGTGTCCATGCAGGTTGTGTGCATGGCTGAACTCAGGGACACCATTTGCAACACAATATTATGTGGCTGGCTGCCCTGTGTATAAGACACTATAAACACTGGGTCAATGGGTGATAATAATGTGACTGGGAACTGTGCTATAAGTATTATTTAGATTTTAAAGACTATAAAATTAATTAAATAACATTCATCTCTCTTTTAAGGGAATTTTGGTCAATATTAGAGTCTCGTGCAGTTAAGTGGCCCTATGTTAAGTGTTATGTAGTATAAATTGTATGCTATGATTCACTTTGAGACACTGTTTTCCACTTTTCTCTCCTATAAAAACAAATTTCATAATTTCTTTGGTTATTTGTGAACAGACCACACCTTTAGTTTTTTTGAGAATGGATTGCTTGAAGGAAACTCTGACCCACTATAATAGTAGTGTTGAATGGCTCGTTCATTGAGAATCTAAGATCACATTGCTCATTGATTCCTACACATTCCCTGTCACGGGTGCCTGTTTATATCTTCTCTAATTGCATGTCTGCATCTGAGGACTTTCACTGTTGGCCAGAGCTATTCTACCCTAACTTAAGGCATCCTATACGACCTAGGAAATGAATGCTATTCATAGACTCTCCCCCAGACCATTTATAAACCAATGATTGATGGGAGTTGATGAACAAATACCCCCGACTCTTTGCCCTTTGGTTGGTACAAATTTGAAGTTCATGTTCTACACTGGATCATGGTGTTTCCAAAAAAGGTTAAGTTTGGTTGCCCACATTTGTAACTTGTTTCATAGATCACTCTTCATTTGCTATGTTCCCTTTCCTGTCCTACTTGCTCATTTTTTTCACTCATCAACTATTCACAAATGAATTACTTGCATTCAAATAATAACATACCTCAGGGCCTGGCAGAATACAAATTAAGATACTGTGGTTCCTCTATGGTAGAATTCAATATTTGATATAGGAACCTGGCATACATATACCATCTTACTTCAACATGACACAATTATTGATTCTACAGAAGTATTAAATATTGGGGGTCTCTTACTACTATGAAAATACCCTATTCACACATTATTTAGATTTAAGTAGAATTTTATTTTATTTTTTATTTAAACTTCATTGTATTTTTGTCTATTACTATTTAGTCCCCTTATATCCTCTACGCCAGCAATCACCACATTGTTGTCCATGTCCCTTTTGCTGAATCCCTCCACCCCCTAACCTCTCTCCAGTTGTCACCCTGCTCTCCATCTATAAGTCTGTCCCCATTTTCCTTGTTAGTTCAGCGTGTTTATTAGATTCCACACATGAGTGAAACTATATAGTATTTTTCTTTCTCTGACTGGCTTAGTTCACTTGGCATAGTGTTCTCCAGGTCCATCCATGCTGTCACAAATAGTAAGATTTTCTTTCTTTTTTTTTTTTTTACCACTGAGTAGTATTCCAATATGTAAATATCCCATAGTTATTTTATCCACTCATCTACAGTAGGACACCTAGGCTGCTTCCATATGTTGGCAATTGTAAATAAAGCTGCAATGAACATAGAAGTGCTTATGTTTTTTTGAATTAATATTTTGGGTTCCTTCAGATATATTCCTAGAAGTCAAATCACTGGTTCAAAAAAGCAGATCCATTTTTAATTTACTTTTATTTTTTAATATATATTTTATTGATTATGCTATTACGGTTGTCCCATTTTTTTCTCCCCTTTATTCCCCTCCACCATCCACTGCCCATCTCCCTGCATTCCCCTCCCCTGCCTTTTTTTCATGTCCATGGGTCATGACATAGAACATATAAGTTCTTTGGCTTCTCCATTTCCTATACTATTCTTCATCTCTCCCTGCCTATTTTGTACCTACTATTTATGCTGCTTATTCCCTGTACATTTTCCCCAATTCTTCCCCCTCCTCTTACCATCTGATCTCCGTTTCTATGATTCTGTTCCTGTTCTAGCTGTTTGCTTGTTTTTGTTTTTGTTTTTGTTTAGGTTCAGTTGTTGATAATTGTGAGTTTATTGTCATTTTACTGTTCATACTTTTTGGTCTTCTTCTTTTTCTTAGAAAAGTCCCTTTAAAATTTCATATAATACGGGCTTGGTGATAAAGAACTCCTTTAACTTAACCTTATCTGGGAATCACTTGATTTGCCCTTCCATTCTAAATGATAACTTTGTCGGGTAGAGTAATCTTGGATGCCTTTCATGATTTTGAATACTTCTCACCAGCCCCTTCTTGCCTGCAAGGTTTCTTTTGAGAAATCAGCTCATAGTCTTATGGGAACTCCTTTGTAGGTAACTGTCTCCTTTTCCCTTGCTGCTTTTAAGACTCTCTCCTTATCTTTCCTCTTGGGTAACTTAATCACAATGTACCTTGGTGTGCGCTTCCTTGGATCCTACTTCTTTGGGACTCTCTGAGCTTCCTGGATCTCCTAGAAGTTTATTTCCTTTGCCAGATTGGGGACATTCTCCTTCATTATTTGTTCAGATAAGTTTTCAATTTCTTGCTGTTTCTCTTGTCCCTCTGGCACCCCTGATTCAGATGTTGGAATGTTTAAATTTGTCCTAGAATTTCCTAAGCCTCTTCTCATTTTCTTACATTCTTGTTTCTTCATTCTGTTCTGATTGAATGTTCATCTCTTCCTTCTGCTCCCAATTGTTGATTCGAGTCCCGATTTCCTTCCCTGCACTATTGGTTCCCTGTATATGTTTCTTTATTTCACTGTGCATAGCCTTCACTTTTTCCTCCATTTTGCAACCATACTCAACCAATTCAGTGAGCATCCAGATTACCAGTGTTTTGAACTGTGCATCTGATAGGTTGGCTATCTCTTTATCACTAAGTTCTATTTTTGGAGCTTTGATCTGTTCTTTCATTTGGGCCATATTTCTTTGTCTCAGTTGACTGTTATGTTGGGAGGGGTGGAGCCTTAGGTGTTGGATAGGGCAAAACAATCCACTTCACTGTGTTGAGACACTGTCGGTGGGAGAGAGTTCCGAGAGGGAACATGGCAAGCTTACTGAGCTCTCCCTGGCTTTCAGTCACTTCCCCTGCTACCCACGAGCAAATTAGGCCCTTCCAGTGCTGATTCCTAGGTGAGTGGGTTTGTGTATGTTTATGACCCTATGGTCTCTCCAACAA